ACCCTAAACCCGTATAGAACCCTTTAGCGGAACAGGCCTTATACCTTTAGGGTCCAGTTAGGGCCAAGGGTTCAGTGTGCCTTTGCTCAGAGTGTCCCCACCGTTTGTCGTGTGCAAGTTGCGGGATCGAGGCTTTCGAAGCTTGAACATCTTGTCTGAAGCACGCAAGCAGAGCTTCAAGGATCAGTTCTGGTTTGTAAGGCCTGTTACACTGTTGTCGTCTGTTCTGAATACCTACAGTAAGTCCCATCATTGTGCACTCCTTGTGTCACCGTTTTTACACGGAGGAAATATCACCGGGTTGTGGCAAAAAGCAATGCGTAAGTCGGCCCTCTCTTGCTACAACGAAACGATACGATGGAGTTTCCGGAGAATCGGGGTCGCTTAGTGGGACTTCATTTGTGTACCAAATACATGAACAACACATACAGAACTAATTAAACCGATAAGTGCATAGCTACATGCATACGCGCAGATCAGTCCAGGTCCCTGCTGTCAGGCACGCCGTTGCTCCAGCGATTCCCAAGATTCACCCGCGAAAATCTGTACACAACCGATGCGGCAGACAGCCTTCATCCACCAAGCTCTTCTAGCTCCGAAGCACAAGGGAAACTCTGAAAACCCAAATCACTGAGTTTGATCCAGCTGCATCTTGCAACACCCAAAGCCGCAGCTCCCAAAGTCAAAGCCTAAACATGCTCTTGGATCAAGTCGTCGTTATCCAGGCTCAGGCTTTGACTGCACTCCATCTCCAGGGAATGCCGTAACCCTGACGGATCTGGTGCGTGCGTGAGCACTGCTTCAGTAAAATTGTGCGTCCCATGAGCCTGAGCAGCCCTGCTGTTGGTGTGGTTTGATTTGAAGAAGTCCCTGCACAAAGGGGACAAGACATATGCCGTGCAGAAGGAGAGGATGCCAAGCGCGAAGAGCGAGAGGTGGCTGTGCTCCCCTCCGACGAGGTGCCAAGAGATCCAGAGCATCATCATACTGAACCTGGCTTTTAGGGCTCAGTCTGTGCGCCAGGTGGAAACTGATACCATAAGCCGAAGATGAACACATGAGTAAATGCCTCCTCATCAAGGCTTCTGCAAAGCGAACAAGTGGGTGGTCGAAACTCTTGTGTATCCCGGACCTTGTCGCAGGTTCAGAGTGCGGCTCTAGCTGCAGCTGTTGCTGCCTGCGTTGTTTCATCTCCCGCCAGCGACTCATTTAGCTTTTGTTATGACGTTCTTGCTTGCTGTTTCTACTTGTTTCTGTTTGTGCTGCTGTTCCTTGCAGTCTTTACGCTTATTGTGACTATCATCGCCATCGTAAGAGTTATCATACCTGCGTCGTGGCCGTAATTATTGCTACCGTGGGCAATGTTGTTGTGGCTGTTGATGTTGCTTTTAAAGCAGCAGCAGCAGCTGCTGCTGCTGCTGCTGCTACTACTATTGCTGTCCCCGTGATGTTGTCGCTGTTGTTGTTGCTGTTGCCGTTGCTGTTGCTGTTGTTGCTGGTGCTGGTGCTGGTGCTGGTGCTGTTGCTGTTTGCTGTTGTTGTAGCTGTTGTTGTTTCTGCTGTTGTGTGGTTGTGGTTGTGGTTGTGGTCGTGGTTGCGGTTGTTGTTGTTGTTGTTGCTGCTGGTGGTTTTGTTGTTGTTGTTGGTACACACAA